ATCATGTTTTAATTTTAGTTCCTCTTTAGGTCTAAGATGAAATAGATGATCATAACTGCTGTGCTTGGAGATGCATTTCACGGCACAATTTGTACATGACCTGTGCAAGGTCACGTCATGGAAAGAGGGCTGACATAATGGCTAAGAAGCCAAATCCAGCTTTTAGTCATGGAGAACTTCAGGGAAACCTATTTAAGCTTGCTCTATTTATTGCAATATAACAATAAAAATTTTGGCTTAAACAGTATGTTTAGGTTTATTCTGTATAGAGACCTCACTCTGGCTTGGATTATATTAATAGAGACATAGGAGGAATTATTATCAAATCACTGATCATTAAGGATCGTTTTTTGTTACATTGTTGTGTCTTGGTGCAGACTGTGGCAGGCTGGCCTACTCATCATCTGCAACAAGGGCCCAGGTTCCAGCCACACCACAGTTTTCACACCTCTCTATCTTGGTATGTGCTATTCTCGCTGCCCATTATTTTCACCTTGGCAAAAATCCTGTCTATCTTTCATTTAAAACATGAATGCCTCCCTGTAAATTGTTCTTTAATAGCCCAAGGTAGGTTTAGTTATTTCCTTCTCAGTGTATTTATAGCACTTTGCTCCTATCTGTATCAGAGTATTTATCAGATCCATTTAATATCTGTTTATTATTTATAACCTATTATTTATTATAATTATTTATTCATCTCTAGAAAATGAAAGCTTGTCCACTATCCTCAGCAAGCTAACACGGGAACAGAAAACCAAACACCACATGTTCTTACTTATAAGTGGGAGCTGAACAATGTGAACACACAGATCCAGGGAGGGAAACAACACACACTGGGGCCTGTCAGCGAGGGGACAGGTGGAGGGAGAGCATCAGGAAAAAAAGCTAATGCAAGCTGGGCTTAATACCTAGGTGATGGGTTCATAGGTGCAGCAAATCACTATGGCACATGTTTACCTATGTAACAAACTTGCACATCCTGCACATGTACCCAAAACTCTAAATAAAATAAAACAAGAAAATGAAGTCGTGTGTTTACTCCTGCTTAGGATTTACTGCGTGCCAGGCACTGTTCTAAGCACTTCAGGTGTGTCAGCTCTTTTAAATCTGTATCACAACCCTTTGAGGTGGATATTATCTTACCTCTATTTTATAAATGAGAAAACAGAGGCACAGGGAAGTTAAATAATTTTCCCAGGAACACACAGCTAGTAAGTGCCAATCACTGAACTCAAGCAGTCTGGCTTCAGAATCTGAGCCTTTCTATTATTATTATTATATGTGTTTGCCCAAGGGAGTAAAAGAAGCAGTTCCTAAATATTAAATAAATAGAAAGCATGAACATTCTGATTTTTTCATAGTTTCTTAAGCTTAAATTAAGAAATATATTTTGTGTTAAATTGATTTCAAATTCATCCTTGAGTATGGATGAGTTCATTTTTCCAGAGAAAATTCAGCCAAGATTGTGGAGAGAGAACTAGTTGGGAGATAGAGGCCTGGGGTTTTGCTGACTCAATCATGTCAAGATCTCAAACTCTCAGAGCCTCCCTCAACTTCTGCATCTGCACATACCTACAAAAGCCTCTCCTTGCAGCTGCTTTTAGATGCACTATGCTGTGCATATAATGTGACATGAAAATGCTCTGGAATAGAAATACTATTAAAAAGGAAAACATGAATGTTATTCTTGGTAAACTGATGTGATTCAAGGTATTTTCGCCTTTGGAATAATGTAAGTGGAGGGTTTTTGCTTGGTTTTCTCTTAAGAAGTAAGGCACCTTAATCATTAAGAACCAGATGTATCTCTTTTTCTTCTTGATATTTAAATTCATATCTCAAGTCCCTCAGCTCAATGTCACCTATTTTACCTCTTATCACTTTTTAATTCTTATACTTTTAAATGTATTCTTATTTTTTATTTATAATAATTCTTGCTCATTGAGAGGTTTGGAAAATTCAAAGACATTCAAAAATATATAATTGTATATCATAGGTATCCTCCAATATTTCCAATTCTCTTCTAAAACATGATTTTTATGGTTATATAACCATAACATTTCATTAGAATGAAATTTAGCATAATTTAATCAAACCATTCTTATTTTAAACATTTCAGTTGATGCCAATTGTTTGCTACTATAAGTAACAATGCAACAGACATTCTCTTATTCATTTTGGGTGAGGATCATGTAGTCCCTGCAGGAAAAGGGTCTTCCTAGTGCCTATTATAGAGGTTCTCCAAGAGCTTATTGGAATGCAGATTCCAGGGCCCCACCCATGAGGTTCTGGTATGGTCTGAGGAAGAGCCTGGGTAGGTAGGTCCTCTTTTTGAGAAACGCTAACAAGGCTTCTCTTTGATAACACTTTCTCCTTCTCACTGGGTTATCAACTTCATTCTGTCTCAATGCCTCCTTAAACAATAAGCTGATTTCAAAGCGTCCATTTCAAACTGGCGCTGGTGAATGTACTCATTTCCAACATAGCTCTTTCATTAATTTAGGTCATTGCGCTATCTCTGTAGTCCACTTTGGCATGCTCCCACCCTACCCCCACTCACCCCACCCCACCCACTCATATCCCATACCATAGCCAGTAGGAGGTTTTTATAGCGCAATGCGATGATGTCATTTCTCTTCTTACTCCAAAAGCCTCCCCTTGTACAACAACAGGGAACCCAGCTTCCCTTGCACACTTCTCTTTCTAACCACACTGGCCTGTTGGCTCCCTGATGCCCTAATCTAAATCACTTCTGCTGGCCCAACCTCTTGTGCCTCTCTTTTCTTTTCTTTCATAGCACATCACAATCTGTAAAGGCATGGGTTATTAAAGTCTGTTTCCTACACCTCACCACAAGCTTCATGAGACAGGCACTGAAGCCAATTGTTCATCTCTAATGCCTCGTCCCACACTTGGCCCCGAGCAGTGCCAGTGAAAGGCAGTAAGCTAGGTGGTGATGAACATGGGCTCTGCGATCAAAGGGCTCCCAGCTCTGCTACTCAGCAGCTGTGTGACCTTAAGGAAGTTACCTAACCTCTCTTTGCACCCCCTTTTCTCCATCGGGGATTAAAATAGGGCCACTTTAAAAATTTGTCATGATAATTAAAAGACATAATACAGAAATGCTATAGAATAGCATCTGGCATGTAAAATGTAGCCAATACAGGATAGCTTTTTAAAAGTAGGCACTCACTGTATTCTTGTTAAATAAACAAAATACAATGAAGATTTTTTAAAGTGATTTTCCCAACTCAGCCTCCTGAGTAGCTTAGATTATAGGCGCGTGTCACCACACCCAGCTAAAATGAAGATTTTTGACTTGTTTTTTAGAGACAGGGTCTCTCTCTGTTGCCCAGGTTGGAGTGCAGTGCTGTGATCCTAGCTCCCTGCAGCCTTCAATTCCTGGGCTCAAGCAATCCTCCTGCCTCAGCCTCCTGAGTAACTAGGACTGTAGGTGCATGCCACCATGCCTGGCTCATCTTTTACTTTTTGCAGAGATAAAGTCTTGCTATGTTACTCAGGCTGGTCTCAAACTCCTGATCTCATGTGATCCTCCTGCCTCAGCCTCCTACAACAAGTTTTTAACTGTGTCATTTCTCTTCATCTTTCCTCTCCCCACTTCCACACACAGCCAAAGCATTAGCCCAGTGAAATTCTCCCTACAGCCTACTCCTTAAAATAGCTCCAAGTCTGCCCTGAGAAATCTGCCAAATATACTCTCCATTCCATATTATTGGTTCCAGCTTTGATCCTTTCATCACATCACTTCCTAAAATATGTGCTCATGTGCCAAGTCACCTCTCCTCCTTCCTTTAAATATTTCCTGAAATGTGACCTTCTTCATGGAGCCTTCTTTAAGTGAAACTGAGCTCATCATTCTATCCTCTGTTTCCAACAAATAAGTTAAAGGTGTTGTTTGAGATTCAAAAGCCGTAAATTCAGCTTTTCACTGGCTGCATGGGTCTCAACATTGCAGGGCTGGATGGGTTTCTCCTCTGCCTGCATTTAAAAATGTGAGTCTAAGAGGGCAAAGTGTTTTTTAACTTGCTTTGTATACATTTAGTACAATGCCAATCTACATGGATGCTGAATAAATGTGATTTGATGATGATTTACTTACTTTGTCCAAGCCAGGAATAAAAACCATGAACTCTTAAATCTGTTTCCCCCATGTTACAATACGTTTTATTCTGGATTTATTATGAGGCTGGTTTTCACAGATGCAAAAGAAAGGAGTGATTACATGAAAATATCAAATTAATAACATTATTTTCCACATTATGAGTCCAAAGATACCTTTAGAACAGTGCCAGTCTATATTAAAAGGTGCCTCATTTAAAGTTCAATTGCATATGTTTTATGGGTTATTTTGGACATCTAAAATGAACAACCAAAACACGTCAATACTCATTTTTAAAGTACTTGTTGTATTCGGTGCATGTACCATTATGGAGAACTTACACTCGGAGCAAAAAGATTTGTAGCAAAGCATATGACCTTCTTCCCACTACAATGACCATCCCCTAATTAGGCAATGCATCTGATAGTCATTAACAGGAATGAGATAATGAATCACTTTCTCTCTTCTTTGTTAATTTGCTGTAACCAAGCGGCTAATGGATGTCAGAGCTGAGTGATTGCACTGATTATAGTGATTTATAGTTGCAACAAAACAATTTAAAACCATTCTGATTATTCATGTTAAAGATGCTTTATGTTTTGTTTACTAAATGTTTTATGTCTCCCTTTCTCTCACCCCTGAAGTACTGTCCCCCTCCTTCTCTGCCACTTTTCAAAAAAAGATCTCTTCCTGGAAAACTTGGAAGTTGAAGGCTTTATTGTTTTAAACTAAGCCATTTCATTTTGTTTATATATAGAGAGAGATATATAAAGTTTACCCAGTAGAAACAAAAAGCCTTAGGGTTGGAAAGAAAACTTCAGTGGTGCCTAGTTCAAAAGAAGACAGAAATGAGAGGAAATAAGGAAAACTTCAAGCCACTTACCTTAGGGCTTCCAGTCCCTTCCTCATCCTCCACAGACACATCAGTAGCCAGTATCTCGGCTTTGATGGTATCCAGAGCCCTGAGAATCCAGCTGTGCTGCCGTTTGATTTGCCTCTGCAGCTCCTTCCATTGACTTGCAATCATCCGCAGCATGTCCTTCAGTCCTTCTCCAAAAGGAGGGGAAAGCAGAAGTTGTGGGCCTGAATGAATCTTTGCTCATTATTTTTATTTAGTAAATTAGATGGCTATTTTAAACAATATAAATATTTTTAAGTGACCATTACCATCACCTGCCATATCAACATTTGTCACTCAGAATAGAAACAGGCAATTCTTGACAGGAGGTATAAGGACACAAAAATGTGATAACCACATAAATCTCTGGCTTGGAAACTGACTTACTCAGTATATTGACTTAAAAAAAATACATGAGGAACAAAAATCACAATGTATAAAAATTAGTAACATTGCAGTTTCACATTCCAAATAAAACGCTCTGTGTGTGTACTTCATAATGATAAAAAATATCTACGGAACTAGGTAAAGTCAATTCAATGAGAAATACAGTAAATAGGCCAGAATTAAGACAGCAGTCTTTAACATTAGCAAATCCAATTAATACTATCTTTTTCCTGTTTAGCTTTGCTAAGCTCAAACCTAGAGCCAAACTGTAAGTCATCCATCCTGTCTTATGGTCTTCTATTATCAGGATAAGTATAACCAAATGACAAAATTATTTTTTATTTATTATCTGTTCCTTATAAATATATTAATACTGGGGTAAGAATTGGTTGAAGGCCAAAAACTCTGCAAGATGTTCATGTGTGTGAAGTGGCAGGGAAATAATTTAGACTGCTTGCCTTATATCTGTAATGATATCTATAAGTACCCTAATGCGTATGCATTATAACTATATATACAGTTCTCATTCATTATCTTAATGTTATTTCCAGAGCACCTACATCAAAAAGCATGTCAATGTGGAGTTTTCAAGAATGTAATTTCAACTGAAACTCAGGCGAAGAGCAAGCCCAAAATAAAATGAACAGACCATTTGGAGGCAGTATTTCATCTTATAAGTATCACAGCATTGTATGCAGTATATGAAACATTTATAAATCCTGAAGGTCAATCTGATAATGTAAATATTAATAATACATAAGGAAGTGAATATATGCAGTAATTTACAGCAATGCTTCTTCATTCTTAATAGTCTGGAGACATAAAGACTTGCAATATTTCAGGAGGATTTACCTGCTTTGTGAGATGCAATAAGCTCAAGAAGTTGGTGTCCTTCCTCCTCCACAGCTTCCTTGAGAGCACAATGACTGTCTACATTCAACTTAAAACTCTGCAAGGAAAAATATGAGCATCAAACCCTGGCAAGGCAGTTACACATAAAACATCCATATAAAATTACTTGCTACTTTTTATCAAGAACCACACAGCCCAATTTACCCAATAGACAAACTAATTTGCAATACTAAAAGCTATTGATATTTGGGATCTGGGCTCAAAATGTTTCCATTAGATTAGCTGAGTGCATCTGTTTGGAAACAGCTGACAAACCTAGAAATTCATTAGGTTTTTATGAAAAGTCACATCCCGTAGGCTATATCAAGAGTAGCAGTGTTCTATAAAATATACTGAATTTCTACTAGCACATATGAGCTCTTTTCTTCATTTTTTAGAAATGTTAGTGATAGCACTATTTATGAAACCATAAAAAATTGGCAGCATAAAATATATTAGCCTTATGTGTACATATATAAACCCATTAATATAGTAGGGTTTGATTCAGCTCTGTTTCTCAGATATCACACAACAAAGAATACAGTGGCAGATTCCGGTGCCGCACTGAGGAGTTAAATGTCTTTCAGATCTTTGCTTTTTAAAAGTTTATTACCTAAAATATGACACTGCCTTATAAACGAATACATCAAGCACAATCAGGCATTTTTCACTCATGATAGTTATCCAAAAGACAAAAACTGCTGTCATAGTTGAAATCTAACTCAGAGTCATTTCTTTCAGGGTGTCTTCCCTAATGCTTTATGTGGAATTAATTACTCCCCACTCTCTGCTCCTTATATCTGCTTCTACTGTAAAATTTATCTTACTATATGCTGCTTTATTTCTATCCTTGGCTATGAAATTATAAGTAATTTGAAAAATTGCCAGTTTTACATTTATCCCCAATTCATGTCACATTCAAGTTGCTCAATAGATGTTTGCATGAATTGTGGATATCCGTTGAACAGTAACACTCTGAAGGGGAAGGTTTCCATTTAAATATTTCAAGAAACATAGATGACTTTCCAAAGATTTTTCCATCTCTGGAATCTCATAAGGCATTCCAACCATAGGAGGTCCAGTGGAGAGTAATCACACTAACCAATCTATTGAACCAATGGTTAATTTGGGGGGTGAAAATTCATTCCTTGACTAATTGGAACCAGCATGGATTTTGAAATGCTGTGTGGCCAAATTTTGGCTTCTCCATGATGAGTCTCCAAAATATATATGTTTTGCTCTCACTAAACATTTATTGAGAAGGTCTGCACTGCACACTGCACTGTACTTGGTATTAAGAATATCTGATAGAAGTTTGAAATGATACAGTTCCAGGTAGAATATAATTTTGGATTAAAGAAGTAAATCAATCATAAATTGTGAAATTAGGTATTCAGGTTCATTCATTCACTTAGAAACCATGTACTGTGCCCATTCCATACACTGTGCTGGGCAATAGAGATTTAAGAGTATAAAGCATGGCCTCCGGCCCCAAAGGGCAACTGAACATGTTACTAGGAGAATGAAGTGTAGCCTGAATCATCCTGGGTGGTCAGTGGTGAGTCCGAACTCTCTTTTTCTCAGCAGAGAAAATGGATCTTTTTAAAGTTCAGAATACTGAAACAATGATCAAAAGAACCTAGAAATGAAGGAGATAGAGATATGCAGATCAAGCCATGAAGTATAAAGATAAGAATTATAAGTTATTATAATTGTAAGTCATTGTTAAAAGATGAGTCCAGAATGATGAATCATTTAATCTGACTAGAGGCATAAGATACAATAAAGTTTCAGCAGCCAATATAACAGAAAATGACAATATCAGGTTTCCCCAAGGCTGTTCACCATTTCTTGTACTGTCCTCTTTTAGCTACAGGTACCTGGTTGAATAAAATAAAACATGGTAATGTATGGGAAACCTCATGCTTCTGATCAATCCAAACTATATATTACCTATGAAAAATTAAATGCTTGTTATTTATAGTCAAAACATGACTGCACTTACTTTTTGCCACTGCCACGGACATCCTCAACTCTGAAGCAATGCCATGCAGAATGAGATACATGTGTGTTTTAGGGAGCAGGGACAGGGTAAAGAGAACACCTAAGATCACCCAAGAGCACCAAAATTTAGGAAGAAACTTATTGTAGACATTTTCTCATAACTGTAAATTTAGCCTAGGGCTCTCTTTGATTCACTGTTTACTTACAATAGACCTGTTTTGAATAGTTGGTAATCATGAGCTTCCAAAGAGGTGCATGAGGTCTATGTCTCAGAGCAAATGGGAATCTAAGGAACCATAAGTGGTTGAATAATTTGATATAATTGAAGCCAAGAGTATAGAATAGATGCAGCTGGAACTGGCTATGCTTCAAGATGACATGGAAGCATTTGATTAGGAAATTGGAAAAGATGAGGTATTCATTATTAGGAAAAAGATAATCTGATAAGCTTGATGCTGTAGAAAAGAACCATTTAACATAACTGTTACCCAAATGGTACAATATTGCTTGATTTTCAGGTGCACCCATTAACCATTAATAATATCAACTAAGGAATTCACAATGAGCCTCTGAGAAGGCAGACGAGCAGGCACATTAACAAAATTGTCAATGAAATTTCTGGCTGCTAAAGGATTCTATAATAAGCTCTCTCCATTTTGCCCCCACCTTTTCCCAAGGGAAGGAAGCTTAGATGAAAGGTTTTATTTTTTTGTTGCTGTTCTTTCCTTAAACTTGATACTTGAGCACATTTCCATTCTTCAGCAATGCCCTATGGTGTACAGTCCCTCTACAATATCCATAGCACTCCCTGAAAATGCAGAGCATTCTCTGAAGAATGAATTTATGGCAAGAACATTGCCATAGGCAGTTACCATAGTCCTATGGCACTGATTATATGAAATTCCATAAATATGAGTAATCTGCTTCCTGGATGACACCAGATCTTTTTAGCATCTTTAAAGCAATGCGTAGACAAATGACTAGAAGAGAATAACTAAGGAAATGGAAAAACACAATGACTGAAACAAGCACAGGATTATCAAAGATTCACCAATGGGCATTTCTATTACTATAACCTCTAGCATCACCAGCTTGCATATATCTGGATGTACTACTTATTGGCAGGAACAAACTTTGAGTATTCCCACTGATTGTACTTTGGTCATGATCAGATTTGCAAAGCAGATAAAATATCTAATCCTTTTCACTCATATTTCTGAATAGCCCAGTTTGATAGTCACGTGGACATAAAACCAAGGAAATATATGCCGTGACGCAAACAGATATCCTGGTACAAGAAAAAGTGGGAAAGATCATAAGCACATTCAAAGGCTTAAATGTCCAGAGTGGTTCAATCTTAGCAGTATCAAATCATGAACACAGACTTTCGATCACCTGATGGAAATATTGTTAGTTTTTGCCAGGTCCACTGAGTTCCATTAGTCTTGTGATGTTCATGAATAAGTAGAAAGGACAAAAAGAGTTAGATTATTTTCTGGCCTAAGTTTTGTTTTTTCACAAGGCATAAATTCATATAATAAATATTTATTGAGTAGTATTTGTCAAGCCTATAGATACAAAAGTTAACAATATACAATCCTTATCCTCAAACAGTTTATATTCTATTATGTAAAGGAGATAAGAAAACAGGTAGCTTTACAAGACCCAGCAAAGAATAAATATGTAATTAGGGTTTAGTGCATAACACAGAGTGGTGGGGCCTTAAGCAAACTAAACGGTGATATGCCTTGACCAATGGGATTCAAGGTTTTTTTTAAAAAAAAATTATTTAAGAATTACGCTGGCCAAGTAAAAACAAGGCTAAATTAGCTGGGTGTGGTGGCACGCACATATAGTCCTAGCTACTCGGAAAGCTGAGGTGGGAAGACTGCCTGAGCCCAGGAGTGAGCTATGATCGTACCACTGCACTCCAGCCTGGGCAATAGAGCAAGACTCTGCCTTTAAAATAAAATAAAATACAAACAAGACGGATTTTTATAGTCTGTATAAGTGCTGGATAGGGGTTGTGGGAGCCCATGCTGGGATCCAGGTTCAGCAGAGCCTAGCAGGGAGCTTGTGGAGAAAGAACTGATTTGTACATGGGCCTGAAGATACTCTTACATTATAGTATGAAGCAGGGAGCCACAAGCAGCTCAGTGTGGCTAGGGCAGGATGCAAGCAAGAAAGACAGCAGCTATGGCTACACAGGACTTGACCCCAAGAACCATGAAAGAGTGATGGAAGAATATGCCAGTGACATGGGAGAGTGGCTGGTGCAAATCTGTGATCTAGAAATCTTTCTAGCTATTGCATATAGTGTTGATTTTAAAAGGGCAGACTGGAGACAAGGAAGCCATTTAGGAAGCTGCTGTGGTAATACAGGCCAGATGTTTCTGCATGCTCATATTTTTTTTAATTAAAAAAGGTATGCTTTTCCTTCTAAGTGAATAGAAGAAAAAAATGGACAAAATCTTCTGTCTTTTTAAGTTTCTCTCAGTGCGTGAGAGAAGCATGTGCCAGAATTTAGTTCTTTGGCTGTTCTGATGATAAATACCAGAGGTTATTAGTCAGGAGTCTCCAAATGTGAAAGACATATTGAACTGATGAACTTTTACTCCCACTGTCATTTTAAAGAGATGGTATATATGCTGATGAATAAGACACTTGACGACACTTTTTCTTCACACAAAAGATTTTTACTACCCTAAGAAAAAGAAAACTTGCCTTTTTACAAGGGCAGGAGGAAGAATGTGTGTTCAGCCAGAAAAGCCAAGGCTTGAAAAGTCACCTGCTATCTGCCTCAGGCCATCTCTGCCCAGGCTCCACTCTGAGCTGTGCCCAGAACCACTCTCCATTCTCAGAGGGGCTCCTGGGGGAGAAGAAAGCCATGATCCTCCGAGTAGTTTCTCTTCTCCTCTCCACAATGCCATCCACAGAGGATGGGCAGATGTACCTGTCCTCAAAATATATCTTTAAAATGCCACATATACCAAGAATTGGAAGATTTCTATGAGTAAGCATTTAAGAACCTCCTGAAAACTTGATAAGACATTA